TAAGCAATTACATAAGGGTAGGGTATGGTTGGTTGTAGGGTTAGAGTTGGGAATTGGGATTAGGGTTGGAATTAGGATTACAATTGGAACTGATTAAAACGATAGTCTTATCATATGAATACGGGGGAATCACATGTTGTTTGTGTAAAAATAATCATGTGAATATTTTAAATTATTTTTTTTCGTCTTTAATGAAATATGGAAAACACAGTGAATTAGAAAACCTACAACTTATATTTTTCTGGAAGGATTCAAAAGGAACACACTCACGAAACAAGCATAAGAGGAAGGCATTGTTGTTGATGATGCTCATGGCCTGAAAAACATAACTAGAGGTTGATGTTTTGAGAAAAGGCATCAGAATATCTAACTTCTGCATTTATTTTGCAGGATGACAAGTATCAACAATTTTCTATATCTACAATGTAGCTGAAGTTTAAGTACTGAAACAAACTTTAGTACACTGTTTGGTGCACAAAATGGTATGCAAAATGGTACGCTGTTATCAAAATGTCTGGTGTTAGAGGGGGAAATGCATTGCATGACAACAGTTTAATTAACCCATGATTCTCCTACCTAAATGAGACTCTCCTAAGCACAAACTAAAGTAGTGAGTCAGAGCACTTTGTATATAATTGTTTGTTAGCCCTTAAAAGAAGAAGACATGGAAATAAACAACCCTCCAAAAGAGATACTACTTGGAGTAGCTTGTTAACATTTCTCCAAGTTGGCCACCATGGTGTAAAGTGCAAACCAAGAATAGCTCATTTTGATTGTAGATGCACATTTTCAAGAGATAAAAATGAAATCACCTCACACACACAGCTGCTGCTGATGTTACTAAGCAAGCAAGCAATCTTGGTTGTGTAAAATTGCTAAGTTTGAAAATAGTACATGTTTACTTAGTAAGCACTATGCAACTGTGTTGATTGACTTCTTACGTTTTTTGGACTGGTACACCACACTTGTATTTAAATTGTGATACTAAATTTCACCCAGTCACAAACTGGGGGGATTTAATCCTTTAAGTCATAAGTGGCAACCCAACTCTGGTATCTCACTCTGCCTATAATGCAGGGATTTATACAAGTACTTTTCTACTACCGAAATAGACGTAGTAAAAACTCAAACAGTCTCTGCCAGCGTAGGTTCTATTGTTCCCAGTAAACTGCGAAACGACCGTTTTTTTAAGCGGTTTGTCAGTGACAGTTTTGTGAATTACGAAGGACATATTTGTGTACCTCGTGATCACAAATTCGTTGCAAGCGGGGTGTGAAAAACTGCAAGTTTCAGTTTGACAGTTCTGACAGTTAAATGGTTTCTAATTTTATTGTCCAATCAGGTGCGTAGTTTTGATTTAAAATTCAAAACTACACGTCTGATTGGACAATAAAATTAGAAACTCATTTAACTGTCAGAACTGTCAAACTAAAACTTGCAGTTTTTCACACGCCGCTTGCAACGAATTGTGATCACGAAGTACACAAATATGTCCTTCGTAATTGACAAAACTGTCACTGACAAACCGCCTAAAAAGACGGTCGTTTCACAGTTATTGGGAACAATAGTAGTGGCAATAGCACCAGAAAGTTGCGGATTGAGAGGGATTCAACTACTTGAAAAATGCACGTAAAACTTTGATGTTTCAAGCAAAGGCCCAACGTGGAAGTTTTACTTGTATATTTCTGATAGGCGAATCTCACTCATTCTGCAGTTTTCTATTAAAACCTTCAACTGAGTTTTTATATTTCTCCATAATTATATTTTTCACACTTCGACTTCGAAGAAATTATTGCAAATGTGAATAATTAATTGTAAAAGGAAGAATTTCAAAGTACTTGATCGCCATATACTGTATATCTTCAACATGCCATTAAAAACCTAAATCCCATTTTAAAATGGATAATACTTTTGATTAAAAGTGCTGTGAGTCTGAACAAGGGAAATGTTATTTCATGGTGGAAGTGGGGGAGTTCTCTCCTACTAATTAGAGTCATTCATCTTCTAAAAAAACAGAAGTACTTGCTAAATGTGCTAATGCCACACAATTTCACTTGATGTTAATTTAGCACACCTTTAATAAATGGTACAAAGCCCAGTGTGGAAAGTTTGTATCACACAACTGAGATACTGGGCTCACAATTTTGATGATTTCTATACATTTACTATTAAATCTTTGAAATCTCAGATGTACAATTTCCAAACTTTCCAGTCAGGTACAAGTGCTAAAACAACATTGAATACTTTTCACAAAAGTGCTTGTTAAAATTTTCAAGCCACCTGAACTCATAAAGTCGGAAAGTCCCAAGAGAAATTGTAACAACGAATTTAATAGCATCCATATAAAATCATGTCATACAGAATAATTTGCTTTTCTGACTATAAGTAGTTTGTATCACAATGGCAAAGGTTTACTTGCCATCAGAACACGTCATACTCGAGTAAACAACCACCCACATATATATCATGCAATTATCGTACTTATAACTATAAATGAAATGTCGAGATTTCACATAATCACATTGGAATTCTTTTTAGACTACTACCTTAACACGTTTTGACATTCCACTTCCAAACACGAACTTTGGAGGGGCTACAACTGTCGCGGTACTGCTTGTTGAAACTGTTTAAAATATAGATAGATTTCAGTAAGCTGAGAGCTCTACAAACGAATTCAACCGCCTCAAATTTCAGCTCAGAAGTTGGAGTTTCAAAACAAATATATACCGACCTGTTGAAAAGCCTTCACTTGAAGTAGATGATGTTACTACGGCAAGAAAGCAAAATATTACAATGCAATTCCTTACACTTAACTAAAAATGCAAGGAATATTAAAAATTTAGTTGAATAGTGAAGCATAAATCGACTAGAAATATAAAAGTTTGTGTACCTTCCGCCATATTGAGTGGCTTTCTTTCATTAACAGGCCACGCGCGCCAAGAACCGGATATCAGCAGTTCTTCCATTCTCGTACCCAGAGCCCTTCTTACGCGCGGTGCGACGAGGGGCTCTGGCCAAATCCATATTCCGAACTGGCATCTGATTGGCTAGTTCTAACACCGGACATTGTTTTCTTACCATGTTTTTATGGTATCCGGTTCAGCTCGATCTCTTCCGAAAATTAAGGCTATGTCTTAATTGTATAAAGCGTTTCAAATTAAGACATTGCCTTAATTTTAAACATAACCCCCGCCCCAACCCCCACCCTAACCTCTAACCCCTAACCCCTAACCGCTAACCCTAATCTAATCTTAGTCTAACCCTAATCCAATCCAAATCTGGCGACCTTTTTTTTTAAGTAATTTCTAAGTAATTTCATTGACTTTGCCTTTGGTGGAAATTAATTTCCTGCGCAAAAATTCTTGCAATTTTGGAAATCTGCGCAAAACTTTCCAAATTATAAAAAAACCTGCAAATAATTTCTGAATCGCTATCAAGTTATCAGTTTTTTAAACCATACTATTTTTTTTTAAATCGAAGTCGAAGTGTGTACGGAATTTCAGCTGCCTCGTTCCTCGTCGCTTCAGTTTCGAATAGAGATCAGTGTGAGAACAATGGGCGCGCAGGGCTAATGGGATTACTGTGGAAGAGTCAGGAATTTCAGCACACAAAATAGTATGTGCGCAGATTTCCCGCGCGAACAAAAACAATAGAAACTGACATCCAATAGCTCCATCCAGAGAGCTCCATCTAGAACTTGAGTGTATCACGCCACTGTATATAGACTATATACATACATGCACTCGTTATTCTCCGAGCCATCCCCCACACACAAACCTCGAACATACTTGGGGCAAAGCGGGAACAATTACCTTTTGAAACAGTATTAATGTTTTTAATAGGGAAATTTTAGTCAAACATTTAGGTTCATTTCCAGGGGCGGGGGAGTTCTCCATACCTTTTCATCCACGTGGTTGGAGAGTTCACTACCGCTCCGGTCAAATGAGAATTGACCAGAGTTGATGAGAGTTGGCAGTCACGCATTGCTAATTACGGGGGAATAAAGGTTTAAAGAGTGTTCCAACTATGTTTTAAATTAAACAAATACACTATGCATGGTTTTGGGAAAGCATTAAGAACAGCTAACCGCGTGATTGCCAACTCTCATGCTCGTTTGATCCAGGCGGGATATGGCAATATTCTAATAAATAATATGGCGGACTGCACACTGTTTTTGGTCAAAATATTTCGAAAACCAAGCAAGGTACGAAAAAGTTGTAAAAGGTCTTCATATATAACTTTAAAAGTTCTTTTATATAAGACAAACGTAATTTTTATTGCCATATCCCTTTAAGTTTCACAGTCGGAAAAACGCTCCAGCTATGCCTGAGGTGGGTGGGAGGTCGAGTCTGTTCAAATGACTGGTGCATCATTCTAAACCCTAATGGCCTAATCCCCAATTGTTTACCAATATTTCGATATTAACTCATACCTTATACTGGCATCACCCACTATATATACTGTACAACAACTTGGTTAGAGCTCGATGTATATTCTCTGACATTATTCATTATTCTGCACTGTATATTCTCTTACATTATTCATTGTACTATTATTTCAAACACTCATTAATAATTCATAAGCTTATTGGCAAATTATGTCAACCATAATATGTAGCTATATGTCACGTGAAGAGGCTTTATACCTGATAAAACTCATCTTCTTTAGTATATTCTTTATACAAAAGTCCATCCTGATTAGTATTCTTTATATAAAGAATACTAATGAGACGGCATCTATTGTAGTCGTGTTTGAACCTATTCAAAGCACTTGTAGTCGTGTTTTATCATTTTAAAATTTTATATCTGAAAAAGCACTCCTACTCGTGTTTTAAATAATACCTAACAAGAACAAGTTAGATATATTATTATTCGAAAGTTCAATACTAAGTATCATTTTTAAAGTCAATCTAATTGAATTTTATTTTTCTTTGCTATTATACAACAGTAGTAATACAAGAACTATACAAGACCGGAGATATTTCTTATAATTAAATCCTATCACTCAGAATCATTCCCGGAATCCAATTCTGTGTCGCAAGTTTGTAGTGTCATTCCTGGGTTACCAGCAAACAATTCCAATGCTTTCCGTTGAGTTTCATGGGAACAGGCCTGGATGTTAAGAAATACCAGTTTATTTAAGCATCCATCATGTAGAGCAGCCATTCCTAAGGGTGTAATGTGATAACAGTTAGAAAGCGAGAGTGATTGGATATCTTTCAAATGTCGTGCAATGTGATGTAATGAAACATCCATTATTTTTTTACAATCACAAAGATCCAACTTTATCAAATTCTTTAAATTCGTAACAATTGCTCTGACGTCGTTATCTCTAATACGATAACAGCCTCTTAATATTAAAGTCTTGAGAGTTTTCAGTTGACAAATACTCGAGATATCTTCACTGGAAATTCGAGTGCACGATGTCAAATGTAAGTGTACCAATGATGGGAACAAGTTCTTCTGTTTTAGCGCTTCAAACCAACCCAATGGAACAAGAGATTCAGCGAGGGATAATTCAGTAATACAACCTGGGAACGACTCGATGCTGACATTCTTTAATAAGTAGCAATTATGTAACCATAGACTTTCTAAATTTACTGCTTTTTTCTTGATTTCTTCTAGAAGTGGGCTTGATAAATTTTCCAGTTTCTTCGTAGCAGAAACTAATCCTTTGATATGAAGTTCCTTCGTGCACTCAGAAACTCTTCTATGCACAATTTTCTTCATAGTTCTCAAGCTGATCTGATATGGACGAAGGTCAACAATTTTCCATAAACTGGTATCATTTGCATAATTATGCCATAACCGGCAGACCCTTGAGCTCCTACAAAGCGATTTGAGATCCAAGTAATGAAATATCGTCAATAAAATGTTTGGAGGGAGGTGATAAATTGAAAATTCGCGCTGAGAATTTTCAGATTTTTTATTTTTGTCGGACATGTTTGTACATGATCAAAGCTTCTGAGCCAGCGGTGGGTCAGCGGTTATTCTCCATACTTGATGTAATACACTTCTATAAGTTCTATTTGTTCTCTTCACAACCAATATGGCGAAATGACGGTTGAGTTAAAATGTTCATCAGGTTATCTTGTCGACCATAAACGATCAATATCCACAGGTTGTGGTTCCTTGCCATACACGAGTATCAAGAATGTATTTAATACGCAAGAACCATATGGTCAAAGTAAATCCAAGTTCACGTGCCCAAATCCATATGAAAATGAGTTAAATGACAGTTTACCAAAGGTTTGTTTTGCAGTTCAGCAGTTTTTATTTGTAGTCTTTGAGTTTGGTTAACATAGACACTGCTGTTACACTGCTGTTAGTTTGAGATTAACTGCACTGAAATCAACCAGTCACAGTCGAGTAATATTTTTATGTATTACATGGTATTATGCACCCGTCAGTGGTTTGCTCCAGGATTGGTATCGGCTTAGCCACAGGATTTGACATTTTGCTAATTTTTTTTTTGTCAATTTCCCCAATATGGGGCGACCTGATGAAGTCAAACTCCCGTCCCTGGGTAAATAATTTATAGAAACTGAAAGAAATTTTTTAATAATAGTCAATACACAAAAATTATATTGAACGAACAACAATGTAAAATTAGTCATATATTTAGATTTAAACTGTTTTAACCCTGGTTTTA